GTCCCTTCCAGCTCGGCATTTTCTGTGATTGAGAACCGATTCCCTTTTTTCCCTTCTCCTCCCGGTGCCGCTGCTCGCACTCGGATGGTTGTTTATCGCCGGTGACCGACCCGGCTGAACGCCAAACCTGCCCGTCCTCGCCAGCCGGGCGGCTCGGAGGATTAGGCTCAATTATCGATCAGCCTACGCGACGGTAAATCACTGCTAAATCATTCTCAAACACATTAAAAAACAATTGATACAGTCTCGATCGATACAATCTCTGAGGACCTTAATGTGGGCAAGAAAACAGAATAGGAAAACCCAATTACTCGTTGTGAATCATCCCGAGTTTCTAGAGGAATAACATAAGTAAATCTCATGCTTTGCTAAATTTAGGATTGACAGGACAACCCAGGAAAGTAGCCTTTGGCAGTAGCTTATTCTCAGGGCAAGATGTTAACTGTCAACTATTGGGATCAAGCCTCAGGCATCTGAATTAGCTGTGAAAGTCTTCAGACCCAGCTAAAAAAAAAAAATAAAATAAAAAAATCTCTATGAGCAGGATGAAGTGTAAATGGACAGTATTGTCAAAAGGACCTTAAACCTTTTACAGCATGAAGCTGACAGAATTTATATCTGCAAATGCATTTATGCTGTGCCTAAAACTGAGGTTTTATAGGTTTGGAGAAGTGAGTCAATACCCTTCAAAAGTCTGTTTTAAAGGCAAATATACGGAGGAGGAATCAACTTAAATATGATAATTGTATAGCTTGGAGCACTGACAGCATTGAAGTTATTGGAGAATAGTGCCCTGTAATCTCTCAAGTGGTGTTTTTGCCTTTCAGACTGTACCTTTAATGTTCTGTTACTTTTGTCTTGAGCAGATGGTTCAGTTTTGTAGCTGATTGCCTGATCCAGGTTTCTATTAGTCCTGCAGATCCATGGGCTGGGGAAGAGCTAATAGGCCACACTCCTCTGAACTTCATGAGGAGTACCTGATACCTGTGAAAACCTTTGAAGCTCTGAGAAGTAAATTTATTTTTTAAATGGTCTGATTGACAGCCCAGGAGACAGAAAATCTCTGGTGTCCACACAGCAGATCCAGCATGAACAGCAGCACTTTAAGCCCCAGTCCTCTGTCCCCTGGCTGATCATACCCTTGAATTGATTAGATCACTCCTTGGGTCCTCAGCTGCTAATTCAGCTGGGTGGTCTGGACCATTAATGTGGTCAGACAGGCTGGGAGATGAAGGAGACAGTGGTGTGTGGGTTGGTGGTGGGCAGGAATATATGCTTGAATGAGTTGCATTTCTATATGGAGCTGGTTGGGGCCTCACTGTGCCCTGTGTTCCATGTCTGATGTCACTGTGACCCTGGTCCACAGCTAGAAATGATGCTCTCAGGTATCACCTGGCTCTGCAGCTTTACTTCTGAGGGATGAATTTTACTCCTGTACCCGATTTCTCACCCTAATAGAGATGTGCTTCCACATTACCTAATCTGGGTAGCTCTTTGTAGCAGCACATTGTAATTTTTACAAGAAACTTACCTTTGGACTTCTCTAATGATAAAGTAAAATCTCTCTCGAGTCTCATTCCCCCAACTTGCAGAGTTGGAAACTCACACAGGCTTATGTTGAAAAGGAATTGATTATTCAAAGCTCTTGTGCTTCATAATCTACTTAAAACATGTGGATTGACTGTCTCATCAGAAAAGCTCTATATTTTACTTTGCAATATACCCATTGGGTCATGTGCTTAAGGCCAGGAGACCTCTGGCTAGTTCCTCACAGGCTGTGTGCCCCTCCAATTACAGGTTATTAATTTGCCTTACATTCCAGAGACAGTTCCACATGAGTGAAAAGGAATACTGTGCTGCAGAGTTCTTCATTACCTACTCTGCCTGTACTACAAAATAAGAATAATACTGATTCTTTCCTTCCTTTTTTTCTCCCTTTTTTTTTTTTTAATTTTTATTTTTTTTTATTTCCTTCCTTCTGGTCTGTGGAAGATGTTTTACAGTTTTAATGCAGCTGTTTTAAGTGTGACTGTTGCTGTTCAAGGGCAGCTGATGTACTTTGTAATGCCACCGAGCAGCCAACGAGCTCTGTTCCCCCATTGTGTTGAAGTGATAGGTATGTTTGCTAATCAAGAGGAGAGCAGAGCTCGCTGTCTGACTTGTTTATGTTTTATTTCTCACCATCAAGCTTTGGAGGGAGGCACAGAAAATATGTAAGCATCTATATTATTCAGTGATGTATATATGTACATGAGCGAACAAACAACCTGAAGGGTATTGCTGATGTCTTCCAGTCGCTCACAGCTGAAGTGGGAGAGGTGTCAGGGTTGCCACATCTCCCCACTGCTACTCAAAACACCCCAAACCTGCAGTGTCATCAGGCAAAATATTCATTGATTGTCACTGCATCTTGATTTTTTTTTTTCCTCTTGTGATTGCTTCAGTTTTGTTCAAAAGGAGTGACCGGCCAAGGTGGAGGATTTTGCTCATGGGGGCTCACAGGAGGCCTGGGGGAAGTGATCAGATCCAGGAGATGCCACCAGGTTCCCATCACAACTGCTTTTTAATTTTCTTGTAGGCTGCAGATTGTGCTTCCCATAAGAAGGATGGGAGCAATCTGGCCCCTGGAATTGGGCAGTCTCCTGGGATCTGCTGGAAGCTCAGCAGCACAACATACCCACTGATGTCTCTGTGCCATTCCTGGGGCTTTCAGCCTCTGCCCTGACTCCCTGTTCATCTCCCAGGCATGTCAGCTCTGGCAGAATCCTACTGCAGTTTAGCTGATGAGTTTGTGTGTTTTATTCCAATTCCTTGGAAAACTGTTTCTAGCATTCTGAATTTTTTACAGAAAGAAAAAAAAATCCTGTAATTTACCATCTCCATAAACCCATGTTGATGATTCCAGTAGAAATTGTCATAAAATAACATGCATCAAGACAAGAAAGTTCAGTGCTGCAGCCAGAAATTCAGGAGCACGGGGAAAATTCCACTGCTCTGTGTGTGGAATACATTTTTGGGAAAGGGAAGGCGGGTTTATTTGTTTTTCTTTATTCCTGGGATGTCTCGGGTTTGTACCAGTTCTTGTAAGCTGGAGGGTGGGCAGAAGAACTGCCCTGCAAAGGGCACTGAAATCCTCCTGTTATCCCTCCCATCCCTGCCTGCAGCTCAGGCCTTGGATAGGGAAGTATCATCTGCCTGAGAACATCCCTGCCTGCTGCTGCGCTGTTGTAGAGTTAATTTTATGAATCCCATTTTTAATGGAATACCTGGGTTTGCATTGTCATTTTGCTCTTTGTCAAGTGTCTGGGTTTATTCCATTTCTTTGTTTGTTTTTTTTTTTTTCTTTCTTTCTTCTCATTTCAGCAGATGGAGAATATTGCTCTCTTTAACTTGTTCTTTTATAATGTGAAGTGGATATCCTCAATTAATACACTAATCTGTTTTCTAATTAATTCCCTGCGGTTTTCCTCCCTTTTTGCTGGTACACTGAATCCTGAGTGCAGTTCTGTAAACTCAGTAATTTGATGATTTAAAGGAGAAGTAATGAATTTCACGATAGAGGTGCAATGTTAAATTTCAGGAAGCAGATGGATTCGATTGCTGCAGTTTCAAACCTGCTTGCACCCAGGGTAGAAATGTGCACTGCTAATAATTCACTCTGCTAAAATACAGGCAGATTCCTGTCAGCCTGTCCTGAAGCGAAGTGCAGTGTTAGGAATCTGACACGTACACTCTCCTACAAGCACTTGTTGTTGTATTTTTGTATGCAGATGTGATGGCAGGGTGAGCATCAAAACATCCACATGCCATGATGGGGATTTATGTAGCAATTTTTCTGGCTTGTTTTCAGCAGAGGCACCGGTGTGTCAGACACACTGTGCAGATGAAGGGAAGGGGCTCTCCTTGCTGCCTGGGAATTGTTTTGGCTGCTGATTTGGGAAGCAGCTCGAGGTGATTTTGCTGTCCCTTCACTGGGATTGTTTGACACTGAGACCAACACATCACAACAGTCATTGGAAAATTTATGGTCAGTCATGTTGAACCTCATAATTTAATTCTGAAAAAAAAAAACAAAAACCAAGCACCTTCCCACTCTCACCCCCCAATTTACCTGAGTTTAAATATCTTGATCGAAATATTTTACTTTATGAAGACTCCAGTGAAAATATGCAGGGTACTTCCTTACCACTGTGTCCCATTAAAGAGAATTTTTAAAGCTTCACTGTAATCCCAGTCAGCAGTAATTGCAATCCCAGTCAGCATCTTGCATCTTATTAATTTTCTTGTAGGCTGCAGAGTTTCTCCTTCCCATATGAGGGCTGGAAGCAATCTGGCCCTGGAACTGGGGAATGTCCCAGGATCTGCTGGAAGCTCAACAGCACAACACACCCACACCTCTTTCTTTCTCTCTCTTGTCCTGAAAGAAAATAATAATTGAGGAAAAAGAACTTTAATCTCTAAAATTAGAGAGTCATCAATGGAGTAGTAAAAGTAGCTGAAATACACTTTGAAAATTCACTTTCAAAGTCTTCAAGCCTTTGGGCAAACTGGAGCAATAGCACAGGTAGCCTGTTGTGGCAGAGCCATTATCACCTGCTGGGTTCAACACAGCATGCTCAGAAACGTCTTTCCTGCTTTAGGATTTCTTTTACACAACTCGGGTCATTGTTTTTGTGTTTTGCTAAGATTGTGTCACACACGGCGCTGTGACATCAGCCCAGCGTGGCTGAGAGAAGCAGCACGTTGCAAAATGGTGGAGGCATCAGCTTTTACCAAATACTTTAGTTCAGTCCTGCAGTCCCTTATGGGTTTGGGGGTTCATGGGGGCACAGTAAATATGCAAAAGCCAACAGTGACTCCTCTCTCCAAAATCTCTCAGTCCCAAACAGGGGTAACTCTATGTGATTTCTGGAGCACTCTGACCAGAGGAAGTTGTGTGCATCCTCCTGAACTGCAGACTCAGCACACAAAATAAATGTCACCTTTTTAATCCTCTGCAGTCCCAGACAACCTCGTCCTGGAGCTCCTGACGCAGCGCCTGAGCAACCTCGACTGCCTGACCGATGGTTGGGTGCTCTCCGGCTTCCCCAGGGACATCGAGCAGGCAGAGAAGCTGCACAAAGCCCAGATTAATCCAAACAGGTAAGAAACTGAGCAATCACGACGTTACAACCTATGGGAAAATTGTTTGTGGAAAGATACAGATCTTTATTGACGTCAAATATGCTATTGCATCTTATTAATTCATGGCTTCCTTAGCTAGCCAAGGGGTCTTGCTGCTGGAGAGTAGAGATAGAGCCCTGGCCTTAAAAATGCTCCAGGTGGCCAAACTGTGGGAGAGAGAAGAGGTTGGTTGTTCTGGTTATTTGTCTGAGTTGCCTCTAAAGACAACCCCCAAGAAACAGATTAAAATTTGGATTATATCAGAAGGTGGATTTTATTTGCAGCAGGAGGGAGGATCTCTTTCTTCAGCCCTGGAATAATACCATGGAAAGATATTGGTATTGCAAGGAGCTCATTATGAGACTTTTGGGGCTTGTGAAATAATTAAAAACAACATGAGAATGATCTTTTATTTGAGGCGTAATGAATTGTTCAGAAATGTAATATGAGAGGCATCAGCATCAAAAGAGAACTGCTATGAGTGCCAAGGAAATAAAATAGGGTGACTTTTCACAGCTGGTCCAAAAGTGGTGAGGATTTGAAGTGCTGGTGGACTCCTCAAAGCTGAGAGGCTTCTCCACTCCCTTCCCAGGGTTCAGTCCCTACCACTGGCTGGCACAGTGGCCATTCCAAAGGCACACATGGAAATCTGCAGTCTTTATGCTTCCAGGAAGCTGTTCTTATCCCAAAAGTAGAGAAGGTGTGTAGGTTGGCAAAGTTACTCGTCCTGTGTCTCCTGTGTGGCTGCCCTGAATTCCCTCCCCACTCCCTGTACAGGGGAGAGGAAAAGATGGGAAAGGGTGAGATTATTGTGGAGAGAGAAAGAGGGGAGTGCAAAGGGAGGGAGCTGACAGTCATCCACCAAGGCCTGAAAAAAAAAAAGTGTGTGAAAACAGTGGTAGTTTTATTTGAAAAGTGGAGAAATAATCATAAAATTTACACTAGACTCAGTTAAATATCATTTCCATGGATTATTCCTTAGAAGGAAGGTCCTGAATCCCTAAACACGTGTCTGAGTCCCTGAGATGAGCGTGAACCCTCGAGCGTGCCCCACGTGCTCCTTTACAGGACTGAGACCTCGTCAAGTGAGGAAGAACAGCTCATTATAAAATTGGGTGTGTGCAAATTCAGCACTGATCCATTTGTTGAGCTCCCTTTTGCTTTAAAGAGCTCTGCACATTCAGAGCTGAGTGAAGGATTTGGCCCCCGCTGCTTCACACAGGGGTTGAAGGAAGGGACAAAAATAGACATTGTGCTCCCTGATTGATTTGGGAGCTGATGTTTTCCAGGAAGCTGAAGTAGAAGGGATATAAGGGGGAGAGGGTGATTATAAACAAAAGGACATATTGCAGCCTAGGACAGCAGGGCAGTAATTCAGCTGCAGTTGTGATGCTAGTTATAAAACACTATCTGCAGAGGTGGTGTTTCTGACATCAGGAGAAAAACCTGATAGAATTATAGCCTTGAAATCAATCTGGGAATAGGATGTAGAAATCTATAAATCAGACACAGAACAATCTACAAAGTCTCATTTTTAGGAGGGCTCTGTTGATGAAATTAGATTAAAATAAATTTACATATATATCAAGTTTATTATTAAAATCTAGTCACATCAGTAAACAAAATTATTTGTGAAAGAGAATGTTACTCTGGTTTTTGAACTCAGAGTAGACCTCTTTGGCTGATCAGAACACAGAGTTATTGTCTGCTTGTCAAGTCACAAATCTATTCCTTAGAGCTAATAAATGGTTAGTGTTCAAATACTATGTTTTATCTGACTCCCACCTCATAAAGCTACTATACATAATACTAAATTATACAGCATTGAGCAGGATCAGTCTCCTGACTCCTCCATCTTATGGAAAGAAAAACAAACCTAGTAATTGATGGTAGAAAAGAAGGAAAATAAAGTTATTTGAAAACAAACAAAATGGGCTATAAAGTTTGTTAAAATGTAATAATAAAAAAAAACCTTGTACAGCATCAGCTACTGCATCCAAAGAACTGCCCGGGAACAAACAGGGAAATAATTCAATTTCCACTGGAAAGATGAGGTTCAGGGTTTTCTTTAAATTAGAATTTGCAGTGGAGGGAGGGTTTGCTGAGCGCAGGAGAACTCAAAGAGCTCCCAAAGAGCTGCTCTCCCTGCGCTCACAGGAGACCGGAGCTGCTCTCTGTGTTCCTCCCTTCCAAGCAGCTCCTGCCTAAGTGGACAGGATCCCAATCCTATTGAAGTGTGGCAGCCTTTAGGGCAAAGGAGGAGCTGAATCCATTTAGTGGCCTCTCAGCTCTGGAGTAAAAGACACACAGGTTGGCATCTGAAGCTCTGAACTGATGCAAAGGACTGACTTTGTTTCCTCCCCCAGATCGCTGTAAAATAGCTATTTTAACTTGTTTTCATGGTTAATGCTTGGGCAGTAATAAGAAATGTATCATGTAGCCATGGGCAGTTCTAATACACCGAAAATTCTATTTAATATTCACCAAAATATTTTTAATCCCTCCTGCTCTCTCCCAAACTTGCAAACAAGATTCAGCAGCAACAGTGTCATCTGTTGTGAATCTGTGATCATCACCATCATCACTAGCAGGGGAGGGATGACCTGGAGGATTGACCTAACAGTACATATATAATGGATTTCAAATAGCCATTTTTTCAATATTCAAGTTGTTTCTTCCTCAGTAGAGAAAATAAACAGCAACAGCTTCTCCAGTGTGAGTTTTGCAGGTGTGTCATATTTAGTTTTCAGAATGATGTGGCTGTATCCCCAATTATGTCATCTTTTTACATAATATATTTAAAGCTTATTTTTTATCACTCTGATAAGAACCTGTACTCAAACAGTTTAGGATAATGAAGTTCCTAATTTCTAAGGTAGAATGTCTGAATATGTTGAAAAGGGAAAAATCAGAATGGAAAAAAAAAAAGAGATTTTTTTTTTTTCTTTTTAACTAGTTGCTTTTTACATGGGGCTTTCATATTTCTGCAGCTGATCCCAATGTGGATTAGGGATAATAAACAGCCTATTAATGGAGGCCTGAACTAGGAAATGGAGTTTGAATCAGCAGCAAAATTCAATGGCTGGCGAAGGTTAATAACTCCATTACTATCAGCTCTATTTTTGAGCCGTTTGAAGAGCTGGGTGTTAGCCTTATCTTACTCCTCATTAATTGAGCTAATAGAACCCCAGTGACCCCACCATGCTGCCATTATCTGGGAGTTTACCAGACATGGACTGGAATACTTATCACTGAATATGTATTCCTCAGATTCATTTTTATATCAGAAATATTTTGGTTAAAGATTGGCTCTCCTCAGGTTTCTTTTTGCCTTTTCGTTTCTTTGCTGCCTTTTGTAACAGCTACATATTTGGAAATTACATGTAAATGACTTAATTAAATTCCTATCAAGGAACAAGCTAAATCCCAAAATAGTTGCATCAGGGAAACATAATAGTGATTGAATTGTTCTGACATGGAAAAATCTTACAGAGCATTTTTAAAACTTTGGCCTAATTTAAATGATGGATATTGTGTATTTATATCAGATGTGGTTTTAATTGATGGCATACAGAAATCTGATGAGTAGCAAAGAAGAAACATTACAATTATATCTTATTTTCTCCTTATTTTCAAGGTAAAAAAAATGATGTGGTAATCAAGGTACTAAATCAGTAATAAAATTGGTCTTCACCAGGGAGAGAGAGAAACAATAGGAAAAGTGACTTATGCAGGATTTGGCTTAATACATAAAAATAACAGGCAGAACAATTCTTGGTTTTCATCACTCCCAATTTTTCCTCAGCTCCCTCTTCCCAGGCTGTTCTGTGGTTGCTGCTTTGGTGACTGATGTCTTCACTAATCCTGATGGGTTTCCTGTTATCATCCCCCTGCACGTCAGTGCTGCCCCCTCAGCTGGGCTCTTCCTCCTCCAGCACCTGCTCAGATCAAACAGGCTCGGGGTGAAAGTGGGAGCTGAAGGAGCAGGATCAGCTAAAGGAGCAGGGGAGTTAAAGGAATGGGATCTCCCTGAGGCCAGTGGGGTGCTTAGGAATCAGAAGCTTGTTTTGGGAAGTGTGTTTTAGGTGAGGAATTTTTGTCTTCCCCTCTTACCTTTGGTGACTACACCCTCAGCTGTGCTCTGAGTGAGCTGGGCACAGAAAGGTGTGCAGGGCTCTGGCTTGAGGCTCTGTCCTGCACACCCACATCTGGTGCAAAAAATCCCACACACACACAGTTTTGCCCCCAGAAAATCAGTGGAAGCAGCTCTGAGGTTCAGCCATCAGTGGGGAATCCTCATTCTCTGTTCTCCTCCTCCTCCTCACTGGTCTGTGCTCTCTCTTCCCCCAGAACACAACACTAATCTGAATAGAAGCTAATGCTCTTAAATAATCCAATAGATAGAAAATTGGATGATTACAATAAAAAGATTATGTCACTTCTGCTGCACATTCTGCCTGACCTATATTGGTACCATAAGAGCCTTTCTCTCCTGGGGAAGGGCATTAATATGCATCTTGAGCCAGCAATAGCAAAACATCAAATGCAGCTTTAAAATCCTTCTCGGGGCTTTCTGGAGGATGCTGCATTTGCTGTCACAAGCTGATTCTGCTCCAGCAAGAATAGGAGGTATATTTGGCTTCAGTTGTGGGAGGCAAGGATTATTTTTAGAAGTTACCTCATCTCATACAAGCTCCTTTTGATGGCTGGAGTTTGTTTGGTGAAATCCTGGATGCAGCAATTAAGGAGATCTCTGATCTCAGCAAGCTTCCGAAGCCTCCAGGAAAAGAAAGAAGAAAAGCTTCTACTTCTAAGTAAATATTTTTGGGTTTATTGTTATTTTTAAGGATCCAAAACCACATGCACAACCCTTTCATTCTTTTTGCTGCTTAAAGAAAGGAGGGTGTTGGGGTTTTTTTTGCAGTAACTATCTCTACCAAATAACAAACCTGAAGGCTTTCTGTCCTGATTGCCCTTAT